TTACTAGCATCAGATCAAGTTTGTATGGGGCACGGAGATGAGGATATCCGGCAGTTTAGTTGAAAATCACGAGATAAATCTGTTAAGCCTAGTTGAAGGAGGGCAATAGGCCAAGCGAAAGCAGCGAGTTAAAATTTTTTGCAAAGTGAACGAGGCCCAGCACAGATCAAGCGTGGGGCACGGAGATGAGGCCAAGCGAGCGCAAAAAAATGTACTGCAGTGTGGGACCTACTAAATCTATTTTAAATTATAGTTCGTTTGACTTTTTTACTTCAAGTTTGATCATTCGTCTTATTAAAAAATTTATGTTAAATATAACTTCTTTTGTTGTGGTTTCTTTTATTAACAAAAGTTTTTCAAGAATGAATTAAATTTGACTATATTTACACAAATTTTTTGAATAAGACGAGTGATCAAACTTGGAGTAAAAAAAATCAAATGAATTATAATTTGGAACGAATAGAGTATATATCAACCACTTCATCCTACATCATATATGCCCCTAAATCTAAACACAAGACAGGGATGAATCCGTCCTCTTCAATCAAATATGAGATGAGTTCATCATATCCATCCTAAAAACAAAGATAATTTTATCCCATCTATAAACGAAAACGCATGCCTATATTGTTAAAAATCGAAGTGGCGAGTGGCAAGCCAATGGACCCTGCGACCGAATATCCATCAAGATAAAGATGCCATGCCTATCTCCCTCATGTAGATGTAGACACTTAGTACCGTGTATAAGTGTATTGTGTAATCAGTAAATCAGATCATATATATATATATTCTACATCACTGCATGCCGTATGGTTGCTTATATATGCATACAATATTTTCGGTATACCTACTACCTAATGTCCAAATGAAGAGAGTAGCTTCTTGAAAAGCTAAGTATTTTGCCTTTAGAATTGTTCGTTTAATTATAAAGAGAAGCCCCTTTTCAAATAAAATGAAAAGAAGCAGAGACATTGTATATTTTTTTTTCCAGAAACACGTAGCAAAGGCGGCGGCGACTGTTGTTTTAGATCCTTCCCCATCTCCAGATAAATGTGGCAGAAGAGTAGCCTCAAGAGCAAGAGAGAGTCACGATTAAAGAGAATGTGAATTCTATGCCTCACCCCACCTCCTCCCTCCAGTGCCTGTTGGCTTTTGACATCAATCGCCTTCACCAGGACCTAGGTGAAAGTTCTGGACTTAATTGTTGGATTATAAGTCTTACCATGTCCAAAGCCTGTATGTCGAATTGCAGAGACAAATTTTATAATTATTTGTCAAAATTGTTAAATAGAATTTATCGAAATAAATGTAAAAAAATTGATAGGATATATTCTTTAATCAAATTATAAGTCTGACACTGTATATAAAGGATATTAGATTTAATTTGCTATTTAGCCTAAATTTCATGGCAAAGCTCATGCTATCTTTTTATGGTTTGTTGAATTGTTTTGGGGCTATATATAGGCAGGTGCTGCTGTAGCCTATAGGAAAAAGGGGAAATTTTATTTTATTTTTTAAGCAGAAGGTTAATTAAGGACAAGTTTTTTTTTTGTTTTGCGCATATTTGTTAATTAAGGACAAGTTCGAATGGTAAAGACGCAATTGTAATTCTTTTTTCTTCTATTCTACACACAGGCATACAAAAATATTTTCATCTAGGGAAATCCATTTTTACCATTTGATTGACAGGCACTAGTTCTCGGTAGCGCTGGACCGACCGCGGCAAAGAAGCAAGAAGTCCTACACTGGCTCTTTTTCCAGAAAACGGCCGCGCAATGTATCGCTTCTGGAAAAGAGGTAAAGTCGAGAGTGAGACCGCCTAAAAAATTTTCACCCAAACTATCACATCGAATTTTACGTATATGCATAAAGTATTAAATATAGATGAAAAAAAACTAATTACACAGTTTAGTTGGAAATCGCGAGACGAAAGTTTTATGACTAATTAGTCTATGATTAGCCATAAGTGCTACAGTACTAACATGAGCTAATGATGGATTGCGGCGCAGCTTAATACGCACGGAACGGAAACCCCAGCCCCAGGAAAATAAAAAGAAATCCACTTCCCCGCCCGTTGCCGGAAAAGAAAAGAAAAGGCTGCCACACCCACACAACAACAGCGGGCCTCGCTTTTGCTAGTGGCCCCTCTCTCTGGTCTTTGCCTTTGCCTTTATTTTTATGATATTGTACTCCGTATATTGATTAGCAATAACTCACAGTCTTTGCGATTGCGTCCACACCGACGCACGGCACGGCGCCACGTACGGTGGCCTTTTTCTTTCGATCGGGGCCACAGGCCGGCGCACAGCCTCGTCGTGCGATCTCTTTCCACGTCGTCGCGGCTCGCGACGACAGGGACTGCACAGAACCGGCGGGGAGCTGTGGTGTGTGTCACGCCTCTCTCTTTCTTCCAGAGCTTCCCGTGCTCGTCGTGCCGGTGCCTGACTGCCTGTGCCCCCCCATTTCCGTTATGTTTGCGTGCCCAAGAGCCACAGGCCACTAGATTTTTTTAGGCCATTATGGTCGGGTGCTTTTCTAATGCCAGGACGACGGCGACTCCCGTCACGGCCTGCCTGCCTTCGGAATCAAATGGCACGGAATCGCCAATCATGGATGGATGCTGCAGTGGCCGGGAGAGTATGTGACAGCGGGTAGCTTGTTCGCTCGCTCGTAAACGATCGTAAATTTTCAGTTGGAAATAATTTTCTCTCACATTAATTCAGTCAACAATAAATAATCCACGATACGATACGGTCTCGAACAGGCTGGGGAACACGACACGATGGTAGAGTAGTGGGAACACGACACGACACAGTGGTTCCGGGAAGGAGCGGTTGTTCCATGTTCCTCTGCTCTTCCGTTCCAGGATCCACGTTAATATGGGTTCGCGAATAAATTTTCTTAGCCACAAATATACTGAATAGTGCAACGCTATATATCTCTTTCGTTTGCACGGAAGAATAGCGAGCCAAAGAAGAAAGAATATATATTAGCCCAACACAAGGACGGGCAACCCCGTGAGCAATGCTGCTCCTGTTGGCCCGTTCGTTTATCTTATAATCCATCTTTTTCAGCTTGTTTTTTCAGTTGAAATAATGTTTTTCTCTAACAACAAATCAGCTGGAACAATGTTTTTTTCTCATAACAAATCAGCCGGAAGAGTATTTCAGTTTGTTTTTTCAGCAAAGCGAACAGAGCCATTGTGTTGATTGAAGCTCAATTTTTCTTTTGATATAGGTGGTAGCTCCGTCCATATATTCGAACAAAAAAAAAAGATACGATTGCTTCAACTTGCTCGCTGCATAATGTTGGTGTAGTGTTGCCGTTTTCCGTGTCTTTGTCCTAAATTATGCTTGAAATCTGGAACTGTCGTCCCTACTGGCTGCTGCATATATGCACTCGCATTGCAGGTCCCCGGATGGAAAACGAAAACCACACGAAAAAGAAACAGCCCAATTGCGATTATATAACGTAACCTAAAGACGCTTAGCTTAAGCTAACCATAGGAATATATAGGATGCTGCAGGGCAGGCAGGCTCGCCGGCACGCAACCGGCTGTCAACGGTTCCCTACCTCCTCCGCCGGTTTTCGCTCGTCTGCTACACAGTACACACCAAAAACCCCCAGGCCCCCAGTTGCAAACTTGCGACGTGTACGCACGGCACTTGGGCTGCTAGCCCGCCTGGCTGGTCCGCGGTCCGTGTTGCGCCTGAACCGTCGACCCAACTCGCACGAGGCCACATGCCCTCTCCCATCCCGACGCACATCGGCAGCCCGCCCGCGGCACGGATTGGCTCCCGGCCCAATCCGGCGAGGCTTTCTCGGCCGCGAGAGACCAAGGCAACGGCCACGGCTTGCTGCCGCCAGCGTGACCGCGTCGAGGGCCTCCGCCTCCGCCACGCCACGCCACTGCTCGCCGCTCGCGACATCATTCGGCTTCCTCCTCTACTATGGGCGCTTGCTTCTTCCTCCTCCCATTCCCACCCAAAAAAAGAAAAAAGTCCAGGATGTACCGTCCGGTACGGCGCCCGTACGCCCTCGGCTGTCGCCGTGGCCTCCCGGGACTCCACTTCTTCCCGAAAGGTGCGTGCCCGTCCCATCGTCCTCGCGACACCGACCCTTGCTTACCCCAAAAGGCCATCCGAGTCAGCACCGGCTACAGCAATTCGTTCATCTTAATTAAACCCAAACCATCGACAGCAGCAACTAACCCATCAGATCATGTCATCACTACAGCGCGTCGCCCAGTTGCATGCATTTGGGTATCGGGGAATCTCACTCGCTGTACAAGCTGCATTTTCAATGAGTACCCTCTGTCCAGCTCTACTCTCTTCTCTTCTCACCGGACAGCGCATTGGTGGTTGACAAGAACGGATCGATTGCAACGTTTTATACGTAGGTGTACCCGCGCCGCCTATCACACACGTGCACCTTGGCCTCGGCGTTAAGAGTTCCGATTCAATCCTGAAAAGATTCTATTCTACTATACTCCTCCTAGTTGTTATTATCAACAAGATGACGAGATCATCATCATTTCCTAATATACCAGTTCTTATTGAGACGACGAGATAAATTTTTCTCTAATATACGTATATATACACATTAGGCCCTATTCGCTTATCTTATAATCCGTACTTTTCAGCTTATTTTTTCAGCTGGAACAGTGTTTTTCTCTCACACCAAGTCAGCCGGAACAGTGTTTTGGCTTGTTTTTTCAGCGAAGCGAAAAAGGCCTAAGACAGGTTCTGACAGATGGCAGCATAACCTCGACATGACGCCATGGCCGGGACGTGATCACATTCTGACCGACGTGGCTAGAGTTGACAGACGGCGGGCGTCGCTTCTTTCGTTTTGATTCTAGAGCAACTGGTTTGTTTTATTTTTCTACCCGCAACGCCAACGACCTCTTCTCGGCGAGAAATCCAGGCCGTAACCGGACTCCGGAGTCGCCCTGTCCAGTCGCCCAGTTTCGTGTCGAGGGAGGGCGGCGCGGCTGAGCCATGGCCGCGGTGCTCGGCGCGTTCGTGCCGGATACCGCGGTGCGGTGGCGCGGGCTGGTGGCGGGGGAGGTGGCGCTGCGGATGGGCGTCGCGCCGGAGGCCAAGACGCTGGTGGCCAGGCTGGAGCGGGTGAGCGCCGCGGTGCGGGACGCCGAGGCGCGGGCCGCGTGTGGGGACGATGGCGCGGCGCGGTGGCTGGCCAATGTGCGCGCTGCCGCTTACGAGGCGGACGGGGCCGTCGACCGGTGCAGGGTCGCCGTGCGCCGGCGCAGGGCCCACGAGCAACAGAAGAGCCAGCAGCAGCACCACCACCAGGCAAGATCACCACTTCGTTTCATATATAGAGCTATAATCACGGCACTTCTGCAGCGTCTGTTGCAGGTTCATCCATTGACTGAGCTCCTTTGTTCCTGGTCGGCGCAGGCTCTTCCTCGGCTGCTATCCTCCTGCTGCGACACGGACGTGTCCTGTGGCGACATCGTGGCTGACATCAACAACCTGAACCGGAAGCTGCATGTCATCCTGAAGGAGAAGCATCGGCTTCAGCTCCGCTCTTCCCTCGGCGATCAGCACTCAGCGCCTGTGGGGACGGCACATAGGCTCCGGAAACCTGAGAGGACCCGGTCTGCTGGCGCCGACATCGTTGGCTCAAGGATCGAGGATGACGCGGCCGGGCTCGTCCGACAGCTGACAGAGACGGACGGGAGAACCGGCTGCACGATCGTCGCCATTATTGGCCCCGACGGAATCGGCAAGACCACGCTCGCCAAGAAGGTGTACGGCAGCGAGAGGATACGGCGCGCCTTTGGGGCGAGGTCATGGGTGCGCATTCCCAGGGAGTACAACGAGGCCGCCCTGCTCTCCCAGGTCATCGACTCGTTCGGCGGCGACACAACGGGCGGCGAGAGCTTCGCCGACCTCGAGAGGACGCTGGTCAGGCTGGTGGAGGAGAAGAGGTTCTTGCTCGTGCTGGACGACGTGCGGTACGGCGGGGTGTGGGAAGACGTGCTGAGGAGACTGCTCGAGCGCGCTGCTGGACGCGGCAGCAAGGTGGTGATCACGGCGCGGCACGGCAGCATTGCTCGGGAGATGGGCGCCGGCCACGTCCACCGCGTCAAGAAGCTGGACATCGACGATGGCTGGCTGCTGCTTCGCACGGCGGCCTCTATAGCTGACGAGGCCGCGGCCGGCGAACTGAAGGGCGTGGGTGAGGGGATAGCTGATAAGTGCGGCGGTGTGCCATTGGCGATCAAGGCTGTTGCCGGCGTCCTGAGGACACGGGACCGGACCGCCCAAGAGTGGGGCGAGGTGCTCGCCAGCCCGGCGTGGTTGGTGAAGGGGCTCGCGGAGGATGCCATGAAGCCGCTATACCTGTGCTACGACGACCTGCCGTGCCACCTCAAGCAATGCTTCCTGTACTGCTCGCTGTTCCCCTCTGACCTCGCCGTGGATAGGCGCGTGCTCGTGCAGCTGTGGATAGCTGAAGGCTTCGTGCAGATCAGAGCCGACGCCAGTGTCGAGGAGGTGGCCGAGGAGTACTACGATGAGCTCATCACAAGGCACCTTCTCCAGCCGGCAGAGGAAGATGAACACGGTGGCGCCGCGTGGTGCACCATGCACGACATGCTGCGAGTTCTGGCGCAGCTGCTCGCACATGGTGAGGAGTTGACCGGCGACTCGTACCGACTGTTGGTCGACAACGATGCCGCCTTAGCACCACGGCGTGTTTCACTCCCGGGAAGAAATCTGGCTGCGATACCTGAGAAGATTCTCAAGTTAGAAAGGGTAAGAACGCTGCTTCTTCAAAAGAACCCATTTACGATTGAAGGAAGCATCTTTACAAGATTGCAGCATCTTAAAGTATTAGACCTCAGCGAAACAGCAGTCGAGCTCATTCCAGAGACCTTGGGCAATCTTGTTTACCTGAGGTTCCTGAACCTGTCTCACACAAGGATTCAGGCAATTCCAGAATCCATAGGCAGCCTGTGGAGCCTGAAATTCTTTCTGCTAAGAGGGTGCAAGACACTGCACGCGCTGCCAAAAGGGATAGAGCATCTGAGAGGACTCAGGGACCTTGACCTTGCCGGCACAGTGATCAATGACGTGGCATTCAGAGTAGGCCATCTGAGAAGCATCACATCACTCTGCTGCTTCACCGTGACGAGCAAAGAGGCGCGTGCCGCTCAGGATAGGAGCGGGTGGCCTCTGGATGAGCTCAAGAACTTATCTCAGCTGAGAACACTGCACATACAGAAGCTTGAGAAGGCTGCTAACCGATCAGAGGCAACTGAGATGTTACTTGATGCCAAGAAAGGCCTCAGGGAGCTCGAGCTGTCGTGCAGCAGCACTGTCAGGCCACTTCAGACACCGGAATTGGTCAGAAAGATTGAGGATATCTTCGAAGAGATGAATCCACCACTATGCCTTGAGTCACTGAAGCTTGTAAACTACTTTGGGACAAGGTTCCCAAGATGGCTATCAGTGACCTTCCTGCCAAATCTCCATGATCTAGACATCATTGGGTGCAACTTCTGCCAGTCTTTTCCTCCATTAGGCCGTTTGCCAGAACTGAGATCCTTGTACATAGCAGACTCTTTAGCTCTGAAGGATATAGGTGCAGAGTTCACAGGCACCGAACACCCACATCAGGTTCCATTTCCGAAGCTGGAAAACCTGCACCTCCAAGGGCTGCAGAAGCTCCAGACATGGACAGACATCGAGCCAGGGGCATTTCCATCTCTGCAGGAACTTCAGCTTGAGAGCTGCCCCAAGATGCAAAATCTTCCTGTTGGCCTCAGACATGTGACATCCCTGACCAAGCTACACATAGCAGATATGGCAAGCCTTGAGGCTGTGGATGACATTGCTACACTGATGGAATTGAGCGTTTGGAACACTCCTAATTTGAAGAGGATATCAAACCTGCCTTCCCTTGAAGATATCAACATGTGCCACTGCCCTATGTTGGAGAGTGTGGAGAATGTAGACGGATTACAAACAGTGCACACCTTTGATCATGACTTGCGGGACATGCCCAGATGGATTGAGGCACATGCTTCCAAGCTTCGATCACTGAATTTCACAAGCACAGTTGAGCTGCTGAAAAGGTGCTTGGTTGACGGTCCAGACTGGCCTGTGATTAAGGACATCAAGGAAGTTCATGGGTACTCCACTGGTTCCAGCTACATATACTATAAGAGGAGTCCTTATATCTTTGAGAGCAATGTGAGTGATGAAGATAACCTCAGTGTCAGAGAGAATGAAGCAGATCTTGATAATGCTGATGATATTTCAGTTTCATCTTCAGGTACTGGTTATCTAGAAATCAAAGGATTCTTTGACTCAAAAGTATTGAAGGAAGGAACTACCAGGGCTGAAGAAATTGTATCGGGTAGGAGTGTCGGGAGGACCATGCTGGGGCTCACTCATCGTCGCTTGCATAAGCTAGCAGAAGTTGCCCCTGAAGATGATGAGGTTGAGGACAGAGCAGATTCAGCTATGCTGCTTCCTTCTAATACAACAAGAGCTACAACATCTGCAGCAAAAGTTGGTTGTGTCGTGACTGATCATCATAATGATCCTGGTTCATTGCCAAAAGCTACAAGTCATGAGTCTCAAGCAATAACCACTGATGAAATCTGTCATGATAACATAGTAACGTCGGCTTTTCCCAGGCAAACCATGTCCAAAACAGCAAAGGACGTTTCTTCTAAACCTAGCACTGATGGATATGCTACTCTTACCAAATCTGCCGCTCCAATTGGTCATAACTTGGTCCGACAAGGGTCCCAAGCAATCAACAGTACTGAAATTGGTCAAGGTTCTAACTTCAGTAGTATCCGAAGGAAGGAACATACATCCAAGAAAGGAGAAGGTATTACTGCTGATGTTACTGTCGCTAAAGGCATTAGTCTAGTTCATTCAAGGCAAGTGATGACTTCCAATAAAGGAAAGGAGGATTTTGCTGATAATGCTGCAACTACCATCTGTTCATCCGATATAGTAAGTCAGAAACACATTAAGGACCAGACTGCAACTTCTGCAAATGGAAGCACAAATGCAACTCCAATGCCAGAAAATCCATCAGACAAAAAGGACTGGAGAAATCTGCTGGTGTCACTGGTAGCAGTTTCATCCATGAAGCATCTCATACAGTCTTTTTCACTGAACCCACTCGAGATCTGGCTTCAAGTTTAATAAACAGCAAACAACAGATGCCGGAAAAAGAGGGAGAAGTTTCTGATGCTCTTGATCCTACTGATGCTGTTGACAACAATGGAAATCAAATGGAGGATGGCAATATCAGTTCGTCAGTCAAGCTAAATCATGAGGAATCCAAAGCAATCGGTGCTAGTACAACTAACTGTGATTCAGGGCCTTGCAAATTGCTTGCCGGTTTAGCCTGCAGCAACCAACAGACAATAAAGACGCTACAGGCAGCTTCTGCAGATCAAAACGATGTCACAGACGCTTCATCCAAGAAGAAAAGTCTCGGCATGGAAAGCAAAATCACGGAGACAGCCCGCAGCAGATGTGCGGTTGAATCAGTGAAATATTTATCTGGCGAAACAGCCAAGAACATCAGCCGATCCCTGCCGAAGACAGCGGAGCCTACGTCTCATCCCATTGATATCACGGAAGCAGCCATGAGAAAGGCAGAAACCACCACGGTAAGGAAGCACTCAATGAATGAGGCGGTGAACGATGACCGTACCGACAAGGAAGCGCCATGCTCCATCGACGCCAAGGCCGACGATTCTCAACAGGCGGCAAAGGTGAACACCGCAGTGTGGGTCGACACGGACACGGACACGGACACCCTGCGCGCTCGGCTCGTCGACTCAATGCGGCACTTGCGCAGGATGGCATCTCAGCGGCGCCATCGGCAGAGGAAGCGCGGCTCGAATAACAAGTGGAGTATCGGGCCAGTGCTGGTGGTCATCCTCCTGCTTGTCTCCGTGGTGCAGCTGCTGTTCATACTCTGGCTGTACCGGAGGCTCCTGAACCAAAACTAGACAAAATGTATGCTACCACTCTCTTGGAGTCCTTGAAGTTTTGCTTCTCGGTTATCTTAAGATAAGTGTATGATTTAGTAATACATGTACCTTGTGTAGAGGAATCGCGTGGAGCTGATTCAGCCGACAGGTTTGGGAGGCCAAGACCGCAGTGTGGGTGTGGCTAACCAACTTCTCCCCAAAAAAATGTGGCGGGAGAGCCTGAAATCTAAAGGATCTTGGCGGCAAAAATATTTCGGTAGCGCAGTGCCTATGCACAAGTGCGAGAGGAAAAGACGAGCCAAAGCCCAAAAGCGTGTGTGCCTGTGTGGGGGAACCAGAAGGAAACGGAGGTAGGAAGAAGCGGCAGCAGCACCGGAAGAATTACCCGAGCGGGATCCGGTCGGCCGATGGGCAGACCACGCTCAAATCCTTTCTCTTCAAGCCCAGGTACATCGTCTGATTCGCATCCATATATCCCAATTTTTCACCCCTCGGGGCCAGTTCTTCAATCTGTGCCCCTTGCGTTCCCCTTTTCGTGCTTCAGGGTTGTCGATGGGGCATCGCCGCCGCCGCCGGAGGGGGTGATGGAGGCGCCGATCTGTCCGCCGGAGCCGCCGAAGCGGGAGATTGTCAGAGTCACCAAGGCGATCATTAAGGAGAAGCCGAGCGCGTTCTCCTCGGTGGGCTCCGCGGGCAAGGACGGGGGCGGCGGCGCGGGCGGGGCTTTGAACGCCGCGGTCTTCAAGCGGTTCCACAGTTCAGCACCGGGGGCGAGAGCGGAAGGCGGCCACGTGGAGGCAGGGGAAGACGGCGACCTCGGCTTCGGCGGTGCAGGCGACGCCCGGCTGGACCTGAACGTCGAGGAGACCGGGGCGGTGGGCCGCCGCGATCCCAGGAGAGCGGAAGAGCCCTCTTGGTGCGCGTCCAGCCATGCCCGTCTTGCATTTCTCTCAAATTGTTCCGACCTTCCCCCTCCTGCCAGTCTGTCACTGGTTGATGATAATAGCGGTCTATCCAGGCGGCGACGAGCACTGGAACGACGGCAAGGCGGGGGAGAAAGCGGCCGCGCTCTGTACAACCACTGTAAGATCGAGATCACCTCTCCCGAACTCTTATTAACGGCCGGTGAGTCAGTGAGCAAACAGCAACCTGACGCGGTGGTTTGTTTTGGTGGCAGACGCGAGCGGGGGCGGGTGGTGGCACGGCGACATGGAGGGCGTGGACGGGGAAGAGGTCGGCTGGACGGACGACATGTGGGAGGGGATGGGATCCGTCACGCTCGGCGGCTTGGAGTGGCACTAGCCGCCGCGGCCGTCTGCAGAAGTGCAGAGCAGAACCGGCCCGTTACCGCCATGGCAACCGGCCGGTAGTCACTCCGTTCCAAATTACAAGTAGCTATGACTTTTTTTTCCAACCATATTACTATGTATTATGCAGTGATGAATGTAAAAAAAAAAATAAAGCGACTTATAATTTGGAACGAGGGAGTAACAGTTACTAGGAATTAATGAATTAGGCAGCGATGAAGTCGTGGCATGCTATAATTTTGTGAGAAAGCATTTAACCTGCAGAGTGAAAGTCTGAAAGACGTATAAAGTGGGAACAATTATACAAGTTTGTCGATAACTGCAGACAGCTGTGTTTCTTATCATGCCATTCAGCCATTCTCTGAATCATTCTAAGTTTGCAATTGTTCTCCTTATTCTGACTCAGACATCCTATTCTCGAATTGTTTTAGCATGCCAAGGTATAGTTTAATTACTTTGTTGGTTTAGGAATTGCACCACCTATTGGGCTGATTTCGATGATGCATTTGAAGATTAGAACCTCTGATTGACAAAGTGAAACACTACTCTTCTCAATTTATAGAGATGCCTGAAGTGTTATCTGTTCAGCCAGATAAGGGTAACAAATCAGAGAAGGATAATCATAGCTTGAGTCTCTCAACAGCTAACCTTGTAAGCATTAGTGATGGTGTTTCTAATCTCTCATCTTCAGGTGGGAAAAATGAGTTTTGGCTTGTCTGAATGGAGAAGCCTGGAGTTGAAGTCATGACAAAGGCCCAAATGGTGGATCACTATACCTGAATCCTTATGAAGGTGTTTGGGAAGTATGTAATCTCATCATCAACCTAGCTACTATCAGCTGCCATCTCCTCTTGTGAACGCACCACCGCCTGCGCCTCTGGTTCCCTCTCTCCTCTCCAAGATCAATATGGTGAGTGAGTGTATATTAGCTTCTTTCTCCTGTTCCCTGATTATTTTGGTATAAGAAGTCCAAAATCAGGTGAATGTGTTAGCTTCCTTTTCTTTTCCGATAGGCTATAGGATGACCTTAATCTGTTTTATTTTGATTCTAAAAATAGGCACTGTGGTGGAATCACAGATTAGTCAAGATACTGAGTTTGATTTATAACTGTAGCTATGCTGGCATTTAGGCTGGTGTCCCTATCAAATGAGGCCAAGAGTACGAAGAACAAACATGAACTTGTTCTTTTTTAGTTGCCCAATAAAAAGCTTCCCTGTTAAGTTGAAGTTCTCTGGTTTCCCTGATCCCAAAGGGATGTTCCTGATGGGATAAGTCCCATGTGTTGGCTGGTCTTTGTGGGGCCGTGCTGGTCACATGGTCCTTGTGGCTGCATGATCTGTTTTTAGGACAGCATCTTAAACTAGAGGACAGCATCTTAACATCTTAGCATCTAAGACAACATCTTAGAGGACAACATCTTAGACTAGCATCTTGGCATATGCTTGATTGGCTAGCAGCCTATAAATATGTACCCCAAGCCATCAGGTTGGCATGACATTTGTGTGAGAAATAAATCAGAAAATTGCCCCAACTCCTAGTGTCATCCTCTCTTGATGAGAGTAAGAATTCTGCTACTATCAAGAGTAAGAATTCAGCGACTAACAACCTGAGTATCAAAGCCAGTACTATCTCAGTGCTTTGAGCATCTCTCGCTCATCTCTCTCCCCCACCCCACAATGTTTTGACTATTGGCGTGGCGTAGCAGCTCCTCCGATCGCTCCTGCCACTCCTCTCCTCACGCAGACGAGCAACTCTCCCCCCGCTGTGACCCCAGTAGCACGTCATGTCGCAGGGGCTGTCTCGGCCTTCGGTCGCCTCGAGCACGCGTGGCGTCGGTAGGAGGCCGAACTTTGCATGACAGAGGAATGCGAAGCGAGCGGTGCGAGAGATCATTGTGGCGGGCAAAAGGCATCGAGGCAGGGCGGCAAGCGGAGCTGGCGATAGCTAGAGCGAGGCGGAAATAGCGGCGGCGGTGGATGCGGCAGTCGCGGCGGCGGCAGAGGTCGAGGCCTCCTGCGGCAAAGCATCAACAACTCCGTTTGCGGCGGCAAGACCGACATGGACCTCGAGCTGCTGGGGAGGGAGGCAGGACGAGCAGCTGCAGGCGGCGCGATGGGGGCAGCGCCGCAGCGCCCACAAGCTGCGGCGGCGGCCAGACAGGCAGCGAGACGCGCCGGCGGCGCTCCTAGAGGAGGCACGCACGGCGGTGGCGCTCCTGGAGGAGGCGCGCGGCGACGGCTCTCCTAGAGGAGGTGCGCATGGCGGTGGTGCTCCTAGAGGAGGCGCGCACGGCGGCGGCGCTCCTGGAGGAGGCACGCACGGCGACGGTGGTGGACGGGTCGATGGAGAGCGCGGCCTTCACAGGCAACGTGGCTCTCTCTCCCCGAATCGGTACCATGGTTACCACAGGCTCTAGGCTGTCGTTAGGGACGTCGGCCCCGACGGTGGGTGGCCTACCCTCACCAAGACCAACTACGTCGAGTGGGCTGCGGTGATGAGGGTAAAGCTCCAGGTGCGCCACATGTGGGAGGCAGTCCGGTACGGCGACGTCGACTACGACCTAGATCGACGGGCGCTGGATGCCCTCATCGCTGCAGTCCCGCCCGAGATGTAGTTCTCGCTTACCAACAAGCGGACTGCCAAGGAGGCTTGGGACGCCATCGCTGCGGCACGCATCGGCAACGACCGCGCCCGCAAGTCCGCACTACAGGCACTTCGCAAGGAGTGGGAGAACCTGGCCTTCAAGCCAGGTGAGGACGTTGATGACTTTGCTCTCCGTCTCAACACTCTATTGCAGAAGATGGTGCAGTTTGGCGATGACACCTACGACGAGGAGAGAGCTGTCGAAAAGCTCTTCCGCTGCGTCCCCGAGAAGTACAAGCAGATGGCTCGCTCGATCGAGTCTCTGCTGGATCTCTCCATGATGTCGATCGAGGAGGCGATAGGTCGCCTCAAGGTCGTCGACAGCGATGAGCCACAGTCTCTCTCGGGGCCCATCACCACTGACAGGAAGCTCCTTCTCACTCGAGAGCAGTGGCTTGCCAGCCAAGGTGACCGAAAGAAGGGTGAGCCTTCTTCCGCGACAGGCGGCCGCAAGCGTAGCAAGCTACGCAAGGCGCATAGAGACGCCTAGGCCGGGGCGCGAGGATGTGCCGAGGGTGATGCCCGCGGAGACGCCCAGGGCGGCGCCATCGACAGGCACAAGCCGGCACGAGACAACGCCTGCCGCAACTGCGGCCAGCTTGGCCATTGGGCCAAAGACTGTCGACAGCCACGACGCGGCTAGGCCCACGTCGCACAGGCGGAGGAGGAGGAGCCGGCTCTGTTCATGGCACATGCAAGCATCGAGCTACCTCCAGCGACACCGGCCGCAGCGGCCCTCCTCCACCTTGACGAGCCAAAAGCACACGCCCTCCTCGGCGACGGTTCCAGCAACGACAAGACTGACGGGTGGTGCCTCGACACTGGCGCCACCCATCACATGACCGGTCGACGGGAGTTCTTCACCGAGCTTGACTCTAGCGTCCGAGGCTCCGTCAAGTTTGGGGATGCCTCCGGCGTGGAGATCAAGGGCGTCGGCTCCATCATCTTCACCGCCGTGTCTGGTGAGCACAGGTTGCTCACCGGAGTCTACTACATCCCCGCATTGAGGAACTCCATCATCAGCTTGGGACAACTGGATGAGAACGGTTCACGCGTGGTGGTTGAGGTTTGAGTCATGAGGATTTGGGATCGCCGTCGTTGCCTTCTTGCCAAGGTATCTAGAAGCGCAAATCGACTCTATGTCCTTAACGTGCAGGTGGCACAACCCCTCTGTCTCGCTGCTCGTCGGGACGACGAGGCGTGGTAGTGGCACGAGCGTTTCGGGCACCTTCATTTTGAGGCCCTGAAGCGGCTCAGTGCCATGGAGATGGTGCGAGGCCTGCCGTGCCTCGACCATGTGGAGCAGCTCTACGACGTCTGCGTGTTGACGAAGCAGAGGCGACTCCCCTTTCCCCAGCGGGCGAGCTTTCGAGCCAAGGAGAGGCTCGAGCTTATGCACGGGGACTTGTGTGGCCCGGTGACACTGGCCACACTGGGAGGACGACGCTACTTCCTGCTGCTCGTCGACGACCTCTCCCGCTACATGTGGGTGATGGTCCTCGTCGGCAAGGGAGAGGTCATGGGCGCCATCAGCTGCTGTGCAGCTGCGCTGAGGAGGTAGAGTGCGACGCATAAGCTGCGCGTCTTTCGCTGACCGACAACGGTGGTGAATTCACGGGTGGTGAGTTCACGTCGTCATCACTTGATGAGGGCATTTAGCGCCACTACTCCGCGTCGTACAACCCACAGCAGAACGGCATCGTTGAGCGGCGCAACTAGATGGTTGTGGGGATGCCAGCTGTCTTCTGGGGAGAGGTGGTGGTGTCGGCCGTCTACATCCTCAACCGCTCGCCTACCAAGGCGCTCGACGGTAGGACGCCGTACGAGGCTTGGCATGGGCGCAAGCCGGCGGTGTCCCACTTGGGGGTCTTCGGTTGCCTCGCATTCGCCAAGGAGCTTGGCCACATCAGCAAGCTTGATGACAGGAGCACTCCGGGAGTGTTCATCGGCTATGCGGAGGGCTCGAAGGCCTACTGCATCCTCGACCCAAAGACACAGCGTGTGCGCACGGCGCGCGACATTGTGTTCGACGAAGGGCGAGGATGGGCGTGGGACAAGGCGGTGGACGACGGCTTGTCTCCGACGTACGACGACTTCACTGTCGAGTACGTCCACTTCGAGGGAGCTGGGGGAGTAGGTAGCTCTCCTTCGGCGAGCGCATCTACCCCAGTCCCCGAGCCTCCACCGACCTCGGCGTCTGCTACTCCGATGGCACCACGCTCTCCAGCCTAGGACCTCGGCTGCGATGAGTCCTTCGCCGGCTCCACCATAGCCTAGCAACGCCATGCACTCTAGCACCGACAGGCACCTCTCCAGCACGTCTACTCCAACACCAGCTCATGTCGAGCACA